AGCCAGTGCAGATTAGCCCCACAACTTCCCTTTATCATATACACCCAGCGACACCGATGCCAGCTGACTGTCTACAAAACTGGTAGGAGGTAATACATTTGGGGCGAAAGTATTCAAAAATCAGTTTTTGGATGTTGCAATGTGTTGGGTTCTTGGATGCAGTGAAGGCTGTAACAGGCTAAAAAATACAAGCTCGGTATAAACAACACAACTGGTTTATTACAGTAATGGCGGCCTTCCGACTACGCATGTGCAGATGACGTAATAAAGTACATGTCATTAAATACGACCCAAGCTCAATATACCACATTCCTCCCCATCTAAGTGAATCTCACTCTAGCAGTCTATATTGGGATTTAATATATAATGTTCTTTTCTGGATCAGTTCATTCTGCATGCACTTGTACTGAATACTGCAAAACTCAACTAAACTACAATGTGGGTGGCGCTAGGCTCACACCCTAGTGCAGGCTTTATTCTGGCCTATCATATGCACTATTTCAAAATGTAACTAAACATACATATCATATTTATCTGGAAATTTTCTCTGACGACTAGATCTACGCACTTCTGGTACCGAGGCAGAAGTTTCTGAAGATTGTTCATTTATAAGATCTGTTGTCTCATCTTTCAATGTAGTAGATTTGTTAGTAGTTGGAGGTGATTCTCTGATGAATGTTCTTCCGGTTTCAATGATGACGAATCCTGTTTAGGAACTGGCACTGATGGCGAGATAGAAGGCATCCGTATTGGTACAGGTACCATATTCGGTTTACTCTGAGTTTGGTCACTTTGCGTAATTTCCTCTGATGGCGATCTAGATCTAAGCTGATCTTGATGTCTTTTCCAAACTCTTCCATCCTGAAGTCTAACTAGGAATGTTAGTGATCCCCACTTCTCTTCAATTATTCCAGGTATCCATTTTGGTTTTCCCGCATAATTCATAGCAAATACCGAATCCCCAAGGAAGTAGATGTGATCCCTTGTTTTTGTATCATAATTCTCTTTCATCTTTCCCTGGTTATGCAATACTCGTGTCTGAAGTGATGGTTGCACAAGATGAAGTCTTGATCTTGGATGTCTATGCATAAGTAATGCTGCAGGAATCTGTCCTGTGGTAGTCTGTGGCGTGATTCTGTATCTTGCCAAAAACCGATACAATCTGGACTCTAAACATCCTGAAGACTTTCTGAGACTTCCCTTGACTGTTTGTACAGCTCTTTCAGCTAACCCGTTACTGACAGGATGGTAAGGAGCTGTTGTGATGTGCTTTATCCCATTTGTTTTACAAAAGGATCTAAACTCTTCACTGGTGAAACAAGTACCATTATCTGATACTATCACGTGCGGTAGACCATGCGTAGAAAATGTTTGGTACAATTTGTTGATTGTTGCTGTGGATGTTGCTGTCGGCATAACGTGAGCTTCTATATATTTACTATGAGCATCAACAATGATTAATATCATTTTACCTTCATATGGATCTGCAAAATCTATGTGCAGTCGGAACCACGGCTGGTTAGGCCATTCCCAAGCATGTAATGGTGCTTTAGTTGGGGATTTCGTAGAATCCTGGCATGCTGTACAACTGCGAACTCTGTCATCAATTTCAGCATCTAACCCTGGCCACCATAGGTAATTTCGGGCCAAAGCTTTTCATGCGCACTATACCAGGATGACCTTCATGAAGTTCCTCTAAGATAGCTTCACGAGCCCGAGCTGGAATTTATTACCCGTGACCCCCCACAAAATACATCCTTGCTGAACTGAGAGTTCTTGTTTGCATCTAAAATACGGTCGCAGTTGTTCCTCCACCTGCTCAGGCCAACCTTGGGTTACCCACTTTAAGATGTGTGATAATACTGGATCTCTTGCTGTCCAGTTTGCTACAAGCTCAGCCATTACTGGTGATCCATCTAGTGTTGATAATGTAAGAACCACCTCTTCAGGGACAGGTACACTGCCTGGTTGTTCCTTTATGGGTAAGCGACTTAATCCATCTGCAATTCCCATATTAGATCCTGGTTTATACTCTAACTGCTATTGATAATTGGCTAGTGTAAGTGCCCATCGCTGAATGCTTCCTGCTGACTTTCCCCCCACTGCCACTTGGTGTTCTGTTGTCCAAGTTGATACAGTGGTGCCAAAACAGTGCTAAGATTCTTCAAGAACCTATGATAGTAATTTAAGAGACCTAAATAACTTTTAAGCTCTTCCCTGTTCTGAGGCGCTGGAGCTTTCTGTATGGCTGCCACCTTTTCTTCTGTAGGACGAATACCAGTAGCATCAATGCAATGTCCTAGGTAAGTGACTGATGGTTTCTTAAACACACACTTGTCTCGTTTTAGTTTGAGTCCAGCTTTGTCTAAGCGATCCAAAACTTCATCTAAATTCTCTTCATGCTCTTTTTCGGTAAGTCCAGAAACCAGTATATCATCGATATAAACTGCTGTCATTGATATGCCTTGGACTGTCTGTTCCATGGTTCTCTGGAAAATTCCTGGTGCTGCTGATATACCGTAGGGTAAACGTGTGTATGCGTATATACCTTTGTTAGTATTGATGGCTGTCAAGTTCTGTGACTCCTCATCTAATAGCAATTGCTGATAAGCATGACTCAAATCTAACTTAGTGAAGAATTTACCCCCAGCAAGCTTTGCATACACATCTTCAACATTGGGTATTGGGTATCTGTCAACACATAAGGCTTTGTTTAAAGTTTGTTTGTAGTCACCACATATGCGAACATCACCTGTCGCTTTAAGTACAGGTACAACTGGTGAAGCCCAATCTGAGTAAGATACAGGTCTAATGACTCCTTCCTTTTCTAAGCGATCAATCTCTTTATCTACTTTATCTCGGAGGGCAAATGGGACAGTACGTGCTTTTATATACCTTGGTGTTATCTCAGGATTAACATGCAGCTTGATGGTAGTGTCTTTCAGGGCTCCCAATCCTGGTTCGAACAATTTTGGATGTTTACTAATCCATGACTCTCCATCAAGATGAAAAACTTGTGGCCAGTCTAGTTTTATTATTTCTAACTAGTCTCTGCCTATCAAGTTTGGACCATTACCTGGTACAACCAATACTTTTAATTTATGTATGGTATCTCCTTCACGTGCCTCCAGTTCTGTCTGACCTAAGGGGTTAATGCAATTTCCTGCATATGTTCTCAATCTGGGTAGTCCCTCAGTGTGTAGTTGTAATGCTTGCTGACCAACTTTCAGTTTCTTAAACTGCTGCTCACTTATCAAACTTACTGCTGCCCCCGTATCAATTTCCATGGTTGTCGGTACCCCATTCAGTTGAAGGTTGTATCTATATGGCTGTGTTTTGGAAATACTTGATGCAGTTCTATACATGTCAACGTTATATGTTTCCTGCCCATATGAGTAGACTGTGGTTGGTTCAGTAGAAATAAAATTATTTTCTGTTCTCCCTTGTGACTTGCAATATTTAGCAAAATGATTCTGCTTATGACATTTTCTGCATTCTTTTCCCCAAGCTGGACATTTCTCCTTTTTGTCATGAGGCCATTTACCACCACAACCCCAGCATGACTGTTTTTATCACCATTACCAGGCCCCCTAG